TGCAAAGGCAATTCTCACAAGATGATGTCAGGTAAAATATATTTCTGTTTGTAGATAGTTCCCTTCAGTCCTGTCGTACTTTTACCCATGTCTGGACCCTTTTTGTTTTCTCTTTTATATTTTATTTGCCATATTTTCTTGTTTATGTTCCCTGTGGCCCCCTTCACCTTCAACCATAATTCTTTAATAGTGAACAAATATATCTCTTGACTTTAATGGAATGGTTCTGCAGCAAGAATAACTAAATACCTTTATTAGACTGCTTAGGATGCAGGCAGTCACAGTCTTTTGTTCCTTTTGAACTGGTTTATTGTTTACATTTGACTGTGTGACATAGGGCTGGGGAGCCAACAAGAGAGCGTTATAGTAGAATCACAGAGTTACAAACATCAAAGTTACAAATTGACTAGTTAACCACACCCCCCCATTTGGAACTAGAAGTACACAATCAGGTAGAAGCAGAGACCAAAAAAAAAAAAAACCCAAAACAAAACAGTGCACTACTGTGTTAACTGCAAACTACTAAAAAAGGGGAAGTTTAAAAAAATGACTAGGAAGAAGACTGTTTCTGTGTTTGTTTCAGTTAATTTAACATGGTTAAAAACAACATTTTTCTTCTGCATAGTAGTTTCAAAGCTCTATTAAGTCAGTGTTCAGTAGTAAATTTATGAAAAAACAATCATAACACTTTTTTCTAAATTATGAACATTTCAGAGTTACACGCAACCTCCGTTCCTGTGTTGTTTGTGACTCTGAAGTTCTACAATATTTAGGTCTCCTAGAACCATCTGTTTGGACACTGGGATGAAATTTAATTTAATGAGGTTGGAAGTCTGAAGGTGCTAGAAGGGTAATTAACCTATTATCTGAGGAACCGTAAAAACGCATAAGAGGCAGTGCTGGGTATAGGAATAGGGCTAACTGAGTCCAAATTCAGAGATCTTAAGGAAGGGAGACATTTTCTCTTCTTGGGCCCTAGGAAGAGGGCAGACAATACAAGGGACACTGTAAATAGTACTTCTACATAGAACTTTAAAAGGGATGTAGAGGGAAATTAAATAAACTGCATAGCATGGCTAATCAGACTTCTAATCAGTGAAGTCTCAGAAGTTTCTGTGGGGCAAGAAGGCAGGAGGAGAGCATGCCCTGCTACATAATAATAATAGTGATTTTAAGTTTCCTTTTTCATAATCCTACCTTGAATTACTATTTCAGGGAACTTATATTAAAAGACTGTGATGCTATAGCTGTAGAGCTTTTAAAAATGGAAGCTGGAATTTTATTGTAATGTTAACACTTACCTGTACTGAAATTACTATTGAGTAAGATGGCAAATGTGTGTATGGATCTCTTGAGGACAGAAATAATCAAAAATGGTTCTTTCACCCATTTACATAAATGGTTTGGTGTGGTGTGAGGCAGTAGAGCATTGTGGATTTCTCCTGCAGTAGTAAGCCTAAAACATTTTTAGGTGCCTGTGGCCAAGTATCCTATACATTTGCTGTCCCCTGCTGGAGATCCTGCTATCTTGGTGTGCCATGTCCTAGAACCTAGGAAAAGAAAGATTGAAGAGTTTGGACTTTCAGGAGTTGTCTTGAAAGACCTCCCAGGTAGGGTTGCCAGATGGTTTCAACAAAAATACCGGACACACTTGACATGACAATCTACATTCCATCTGATTTAAAAAATACCGGACATTTATATTGTCTCATTTCTATTTTCTCAATTTG